AAAGAAAAACAAAACATTCCTCCATATCTCAAGACTAACAAACCAAAAAAGGTAAGTGCAAGGAAAAAAGGAATTAGTTAGCAGAAAACAAAAAAAACAAAACAAAACAAATAAAACACACACACTGCATGCACCGTCCTCGTAGATTGGGTTCCTCAGGATATCCATGTGGCTTGTTATTTATTGATATAAAGACTATCGGAGAAGAATCCAACACCGTGAATTGAAGGCTCGTTGCGGGCGGCAAATACAAACAGGGCAAGGAGAAACAAACTCCAACGCTTAACTACACTCACCCGCTGCACAGCAGAGCGCTTCCTGTGTGCAACACGTCCTTCACTCCCCGTTGCATGACTCCAATTCACCGCGTGCCCCCATAAGCATATATAACCTTATTTTTCTTTTCAGTCGCTTATTTTGTCCGCTACCGTCCCCACTGAAGCACATATATATATATATATATATATATATTTCACTCCCGCTCTGGCTCTGTGCTCCATTTATTGCTCCCAAGTACCTAAAAGAAAAATATATTGCGCTACTCGGCGTACCTCACCCATCCAGTAATGGTTCTCTTGTCCGCCTCGGCGACCTCGTAGATATCCTCCTTGGTGTTGTGATGCATGGGAATTTCACGAGAGTAGTTGTGGTGCGGCGCGGGCCACACCTTGTTGTCCCAGTTCTGCTCCGCTACAAGGAGAGACTCGCTCTTCACAGCCACAACCACGGCAACGTGGCCAAACGGAAAGCCACCCTCCTGCCGCGGGTAGATGAGGAGGTCGCCAACGCGTGGGGCGGAGCCGCCATCACGGGCTGAGACGTTGTTGGCATACTTGAGCAGCGGTTTGGTCGAGCCGTCGAGAAGCTGCACAGAGGTCAGTGACCAAATGTCGGCGGCCCCCGCCACCTTTTCAAAGGACGCCGGCACAGGCGTCCCACGAAGCATCCAATAGCGCCTTGCAAACTCCACACATTGCCACCCCAACCCTGTGAAAAGCTTGTCCTTGCCAAGGAGAGTGCTGTTTTCCTTGCTGGAATAGTCTTCGTTGCAGTTGCTGTACGCAAACACACCGTTTGTTACACCAATTATGCTGCCAAACGGCGTAACGCACTCAGGTGTGTTGGAATTGACATTATGCCAGCTTTCACCGTGGTAGTGGACCCCAGAATACAAAATGCCGAACACGATAAATGCCAGGAACAATAGAGTGAGCACGCCAAAGGACCAACCGGCCACCATCGTCAGGGTCGCATTTACACGAGAGAACTTCTTCCTCATGGCTTCATCGGCCTCATTGCTGTTGATCTCCACCTGCTCACTGACGAACGCGTTGGCTTCTTTGTGGGTATTGTGTTCATCGCTCACATACATTTCTCTTGGATGCATCTCTGTCGTTGGCTCAAAGCCGTGATTGTGGGCGTGATCCATTTTCTCTTCACCGAAGTGTGCATGATCCCCCTTCGTAGTATCCATATGCGCTGATACGCAGCTGGAATGGTATCCTTGCAAGGTGAGTGCGACGGGCCCTGTTCTGCCTTTGCTGTTTCGTCCTACTTCGCCGAGGGAGTCACAATGCAGTAACCCCTTCTTCGCAGGAAAAGGAGGTTGTAGCTCGCAGTGAAACGAAAAGAACTCGGTCAAGAATAATATCCCTTCCTTTCGTAAAGGGAAGAAAAAAAAATTGAGCGGGGTGGGGGAAGCAGTGGAATAAACATCAACGAGGCAACCCCAAAAAGTGGGAGACGCACAAGAGTAGGGGAGCTAGAGAAGTGGATATATATATATATACCACGAATGCATGTGAGAGGCACCGACGTTCACGGCGTTGCGTCGTGGGGAGAGCATCATGGGCAATGAAAAGATACACAAAGGGCCTAAACACACCTCATAGTGCCCAAGTATTACTTTTTTCTTTGTTTCTCTTTCCCACTTTTTTTTTTGCCCTTTTACCCATTCCTCGTTTTGTTTCTGACTGTTCCTCTTTAGAGCTACGCCTCCACATTCCATGTTTCACCGCACTTGAGACAACGCACGAAAACCGCCATGTTGTCGTGGGCCTGCACCGAGTACTCGTTGGCAACCGCCTCGCGAGACCCGCACTCGGGGCATGCGTAGAGTGTCGTGAAATTCGTGAAGTCGCTTCCATCCGCCAGCGGGGACTCCGGCTCCGCCGGCGAGCGCCCTGACGCCTTCTCGCCCTCGGCCTCAGGGCGCCGCAGCAGAGCGCCCGGGTTGCCGGGGTTCGCGACGAGGTCCTTGGCGGCGATGGAGCCGTCAAGCAGACCGCGGCGCAGCGCCGTGTTTTGGCTGTCACGCAACGTGGCGAGGGCCTCCTTGCTGACGTCCTCGTCGTCGACGGCTTCGAGCTCCATCTCAATCTCCTTTGCGACGACAACGGGATCGTTGATTGTGTCGTACACCTCCTCATCGGTGAAGCAGGCCTCCAACTGCACACCCAATGCGCCCAGTGAGAGGCCTTGGCGCTCTGAGCCGATGGTTGTATCATTTGACGCCAGCTCTAGCGCCGACTGCGCACTCAAACGCTGCTGCGTTGCAGGCGGAAGCTGACGGAACCAGTACGTGAGAATCGCCGAGGCCAGTGAGACGACGCGGACCGGGTAGTCCTTCGTGAGGAATTTTCCCACAACAACGCCAATCTTAAGACGACGGAGTTGGTCAAGGGTGATGTTCATGAGTGACAGCGGGGAGAGTGCGTCGAGGAGGGCCTCCTCCGCCGCCTCGCTGACGGAGATGACGCCGCCGTGGTCGCACGCCACGGCCAACGTCTCCAACTTATTTCGAATGATTTGAAGCGTCGTGTCGGATGCCGCTTGACGCTTCTCGCGGAGCACGTGCTCCAAGTAGACAGCGTCATCTTCCTGATGGGTGGGCACATGCTGCGCCTCCCTGTCGTATTGATCCACGGCGTCGGGGACTCCCGCCTTTCCAGACTTCTTGCCGGTGCTTTTGCTCCTTTTCGCGTCATCGTCGCTCCCGCTTACGTCCTCCGTGCTCTCGCTCTCACCATCGCCGCTCACCTTGTACTTACGCTTGTCCATCTTCCTCTTTTCGTGGCGGGGCCGCCGCCCTACGGGAGGCGACTCACTGCGCTCCCGCCGCCTGTGTCGCTTCTTTTCCTGCTTCGCTGTTCTATGCGCCGCATCCCCCTTCCGCACGTGCGCTCCTTTGCGCTCGTCGTCTCTGTCCTCAGCGGCCTCCTTATTCCTCGCTTGCGCCTGCTGTTGCTCGTAGACGCTCAGTGCCTCCTCGATGGCCGCGGCGCAGTCGGAAGTTTCTTTTCCCGCCTCTATCAGCTCCGCGTCTGTCGCCGGGTCGAAACGGATAAGCTCCTCGGCGTTGCCGCCGTTTGCGAACGCCACGCTGGAGGACGCGGAGGGCAGGCAGAGCACGCAGGTGTCGTACCCCGCAGGCACCGCCATCTCCAGCGTGGCGGGGTCGAGCACTATCCCCGGCCACCACGGGTGGCCCGGCTGCTTCAGCCAAACGAGCGTGTTCAGCGGGAAGGCCATCGCAGGTCTACACCGCGACTCACGATGGATGCAGCGGATTCACGCAAGAAGCGAGAGGCGCGAAATCTGGCAACTATACGTATACGGCGACGCAGGTATAATGCGGGCGTCGTGGGGGGACGCGAGCGCTGCCGAAGGCGTACCTTGACTCTGAGCAATTGGGGTGGCAGATGAGAGAGGGGCTTCGGTGCGTCCCGGGCCGCTCTGCTTCAGATCCCGAAGCCACACGATTGACGCCACTGGAGAGCACCGGCAACGTCCGTGAAGTTCCGAAGGACAAAAAAAAATAAAATAAAAATAAAAAAGGAGGCCGAGCAAAGAGTGCAGAATGCACGGTGTAACGCGCATCGCAATTTCGCACTGTCAGCGGCAGAGGTAGGGAAGTGGAAGGAAAAAGGACCGCATTAGTTTTTCCTTGTGTCTTATTAACGGGACGGACTCACGCGAGACAAATAACAACAGTCGGAGAAACAAGAGGGGGGAAAAAACAACAACAACAACAACAACAACAACAAAAATAGCATCAGACAGCGAAGGGAAGTGGCCTCACCGCAGAAGTGGATTATGGTAACAAAAAAAAAGGACGGTGAAGGGAATAGAGCAAATACAGCTATGTGTGCATGCCGCACATGATGCTTCGGCTCATTTCTTCCCAGTCTTATCCTTAACTTCTCTCTTATTTTTCATTTGGTACGGCTTCCTCGCTTACTTCGTCAGCACACACCGGATGTCATTCACGTCTCCTCCGCACCACTACACACACACACACACATGTGTACCCATTTCTCCTCTCCATCCTTCCTTCCCTCCCTCTCTCTCGGCCTTGTATTACTTCCACTTGTTTCTCTTCCTGCGCGTCGTTCCTTGCCCTCTTCCCCCTTCATATCCGCTCCGCCCTGAGACCGTTCGGTTACTCCGTCGTCCAAATGTACTTGCACTCGAGGCAGGTGACGAATTTCGTCGTGGGCTCATCAGCCGACCTCGTCTGCTGTTCGTAGTAGGAGCAGCGGTTCTTTCCACAGTTCGGACACTTGAAAAGGCTTGTGACCGCGATGTTCGCCAGCTTTAGCTTCTCCTGGTCCTCAATCATCTTCGTAATGCGAGCCTCCTCCATCCGCCTCTCGTCGTCCGTCATGAGGGCGGAGCGGGGAAGCTTCAAAAAGTCCTTCCCGCTCAGCGCGCGCGTCGCCAAATTCCGCCGCAGGTGCGCCATGCCTGGCTTCTCAAGCTGCTCCTGTAAATGCTTACGGTCCTCCGGCTCCACCACGTCGCGGCAGATCTCTTCTGCAACGGCGTCCAGGTCGTCGAAGGTGACGTTCGGAATGGGTGGGTCGGTGGGATTGTCTAGCAGCTTCCGTACGCGGTGGACAAATCTCGTCCGCACGCGCTCGCCATTATCCACCGGCTTCAGCACCGGTGCAGCGGAGGCCTCGTTGGCCTCGGCGAAGGACGGTGTGCCAGCCACCACAGGGCTCAGCAACGCCAACTCCATCGTGCTATTATTGTTGGCATCATCCTGTCGCTTTCCAAGCCGGTACTGCTGATGTCTCTTGATGGCGTCTATCGTCTCAACAGGCATTGCCCGCGCCCATGCAGAAATAATGGCCCGCGACAACGGCCACAGCTTCTCCAGTGCCTTTTTGCCCAAAATGCTGCCCACGGCCACGCCAATTTTTGTTGTCTCCAGCTGTCGCACCGTGACGTTGACGGTGTCTAAATCGCACAGTTCAATGCGTAGGGAAGGGAGGTCGCAGGCTGACACCGCCTCGTTGATCCGCCCAGCGATTTCAATGAGCTTATCGTCGGGTAACAAATGCAAGTCCGGCGCAGCGCCGTGTCGTTCCTCTGACTCCGCATCGCGGGCACGCTTGGTGACCGGACGCTGGTTGGCCGCTGCACCCCCCGCTCCGCGGCGCACGGTTTCTGCGGCTGAAGCAGGTGCCCCTGTTGCCGTCACTGCCGCGGCTGCTGCCACATCGCCCGCCTTTGTTGCACCAGCGCGATCCCCCGCTGCAAATTCGTACTTGAGTGGGTTCGCCGTCTCGTCCGCCTCCGCCCGACGTATCGCCGCGAGTAGGTCGGCGTCCCCCGTGACGGCCTTCTCCGAGGACGTCTCAAAGAAAGTGATGTTCGCGCTGGAGCTTTGAAAGTGCTCAAGGCTTGCCGGTGTTGTGGTGCCTTCGTAGAAGTAAACGGTGATGTCGCACCCCTCCGCACGGCTCTGGCCGTTCGCGCGAAGCTCCTCGTCGCTGACGATGCGGGCGGGCCACCAGTCGTACCCCTCCATCCGCACCCACACACGGTCAAACGGCTCATACACCGACTGAGGCCCCATGGCTGACGCTCTGGACGTCCTCTCTTTCTCTCTGTATGTGTGTGTGTGTATCTCTCCCTCTCTCTCTGGCTGCCGTTCCCCCGTTTTTGCTAGCTAAATCAGTGGAGCCCACACGACACCTTTTTGGTCCCCCCACTTTGTTGCTGTTAGCTTTTTTTTTCTTTTTGTAAAATGCCAGACTGGACGCGTTGGGGTTCCCGCGCTTGGCGGAGCAAAGACACGGCGGGCGGCAGAGAAGACAACACGGACGGCGTGAGCGGGAGAGACACGAGAAGTGGTGGGGCCGGGCGAGCAGGGAGGCGGCCCGCTGGCCCCCGCCCGCAACCCCCCCACAGCAGCCCCCCGTCAGTTCAAACTTTTTCCAATGGAAGCGTGCACACAAGTAAATAAAAGAATGTTCGTTCATTCTTTGCCGCGTTGCCTCCCCCCGTTTTTCCGTCCCTCACGCCCATACACACGCTCTACCCACTGCGTCCCTGCGTACACGCAGAGCACGAGGAGGAAACCGGGTGAAAGAGCACGTAAGCAACGCCTGTGTCCCAAGCATTACCCCAGCCCACCCACCACACACAGAGACACATGCATGCATACACATATGCAGGCAGTGAAATACAAACGGAGAGAGAGAGAGAGTGAGAAAGAGTTACACCTAACAAATATAAAGACGAGTGCACTACGTCCATCTTTCTTCTTCTCTATTTGTCGGTGGCGCAAACAATACGTGCGTGTGCGTGTGCGTGTGCGTGTATGTGTGTGTATGTAATGCTTGGGACACATCTTCCACCATCGTTTCCTAGAAATTTCTTGTACAACTCTCCGGCACACCCCACAGGCACACACAGCGGGGGAACACAAAGAACGAACCAACAACCACACTCTGCATCATCATCTTTCGTCCCTGCAATCTTCCAGAAGAACTACACCTGCTCTGCTACTATTATTCCTACCTTACAACCACTGCCGCTGCTGTTTCACTGCGACGCCTAGTAGTTCGGGTTCACCTTTGTCTCCAGCGCGAGCGCGAGTGGCGAGTTGGGGTCGATAGGTGGGAAGATGCTCTGTCGACCAAAGAGCGTGCCAAAAATAAACAGCAGCAGGAACTTGGTGAGGAAACGAATGTCCCAAATGAAGTTCACAAAGCTGTACGTGCGGAAATACTCTCCCGAAACCAGGTAGCGGCACTCGTCAAAGAACCGCACGACGCGATAGTGCAGGAGTTGCTTCTGTTCGTAGACGTAACGCTTCGTGCTGCTTACTGCTGCATCGGTTCCATTGGCGTCGTGCTCCGCAATCGCCTTGGCAATACCGGCGTCAACTGCGCTTAGCTTTCTCGCCGAGCGCCGCTCAAGCTTGCAGGCTAACTTACAAAATGGCGCCAGGAGCTTCCCCGCGGCGGCGCACTTGGAAGACGACATGTATCTCGCTTTCTTCTTGTCTGTTTTGCGATCTCCGCTGTTCCCTTCGCCACCGTCGCGTGGAAGCAACTTGTGTGGATGTGCTGTGTAACTTACCTAACGGGTAGGGCGCCTACTTGGGCCTCCTGCTGCTCCTCTTGTGTGTGGGCAAGCAAGGGCGACAGCGGGGTGTGAAAGCGAGGGAGAAGGGTGGCCAAAACAGCGGCCCCAGAGCAGCTTCCGAGGAACTGGAAGCAAAAAGAGAACTTCTCGACAGACAGGCTGAGTGACTGAGAGGAAAGAGGGGGGAGTGACGCGTGTCAGCTAGCAAAGACGCAACCGCCGCGTCTCGTTCCTTTTCCTTTCTCGTTTTGTTTTGTTTTGAGTTTCTTTTTCATCCTTTCATTTGGCTTCCGTTCGCCGCTCCTCTTCGCTTTCGCGGCTCAGGGCCACGCCTCACACGCCGAGGGCGGAGAGAAGGCAAATGTGGTGCACTCTTCCTCACCCAGCGGCACACACAAACAGAAGGAAAATAAAAAAAAAGAAGAGAGAGAGGCATTCTTTTTTTTTGATTGTTTTTTTTGTTATTATTACTTTTTGTTTTTGAGACCCGTCACTTCCGTCAGAGCGGTGCCGCGTGCAAAGGCGCCCATGCGGGCACCCTCACGCACAAGTCCCGCTTCCCTATTCTCTCCACGCCTCTCCTCCCCCCGCTTCCTCGACTCCCCCGTTTGTGTGCCTCGTTGCTCGCCCTGTTTGACGTCTACCGCCGTCGCTTCTTCCATACAATCGACTCCACCTGCTCAACGATGACTTTTGTCACTGTGCCAATTCCCTTCGTGCGCCCCTCGCGGAAGATGAGCTGCTGCCCCACCTTCATGAACTCCGGGCGGTAGAGGAAGTGAAACCGCACGAGTGACCGGTCACCAGTGCGGAGGACCTCCTGCGCCACGTACACAATCCGGGCCGACTGCCGCACCGTCGTGGAGTGAATGACGGGCTCGTAGTTCACCAATATCGTCGTGGAGTGGTAGAGAATCGTGACGTCCGCCTCGAACTGCCAGTACGCCGCAATCGGGTGCTGCGGGTCGGCGAGAATGTTGCCTTTGCGTATCGCGGCACGTTTTTCCTTCTTGAGGCAAAACGCGGCGTCGCAACCCGCCACCGCCTGCTGCTGCTCTCTGCCCTTCACGTGAATGGACTTGATGTGCACAGTGCGGTACGCGCCGTGGCAGTCTGGGCCGAGCAGCACCGCGTCGTTCACGTGAAATATCCCCTGCGTCACAATACCCCCAACCACCGTGCCGACGCCGTTCACGAAGAAAGTGCTGTCAATCACCATTTCGCGGGGCAGCGTCCGGGCCTTGCGCCAGTCCTTTCGCACGGGGAGAAGGTTAAGAAAGCGGACGAGAAACTGTATCCCGTCCCCCGTCACGTTGCTCACCTCAAAAATAGGCACAATACGGTCCACATGCAGGTTTTTAGCGGAGAGCACGATGTCATCGACGCGGCGTACAGGGTACGGCAGCTTGCGCACTGTCGGAATTTTAAGCAACTTATGAATACTCGCCAGCGTCTCCTGTCGCACGTTCTCAGGGGTGGAGTCAATGCGAGTGACGACCACGAAAAAAGGGACCTTGAGGGCGAGGCAGAGCGCGATGTGTTCCTTTGTCATGCGCTGAATGCCGTTGTTGGCGCTAATCACAACACAGGCGTAGTCGGGCATATTCCGCGTCATGCCGAGCACCGTCGTCTTGAGGTACCGCTCGTGACCGGCGAGGTCGTACAGTGTGAGGACCTTGGCACTCCGCGCCACCACCTCCTCCGTCAGCTGCCAGGCGGAGACTGCGCCCCCGCCCCCGCCCCCGCCCCCGCCCGACCGCTTCAGTGCGGCAACGGCGTAGTTCACCACCTCCCCCGTCGACGAGAGTCCGAGGTGGTTCTCACTGACGCTTGAGGTACGCCCCGTGGCCGCCTCGTGCTTGTGTTTAAAGACAAAAGCGCGCGCGGAGCCTCGTCCGTCGTCGCGGCAGCCGCGCGTGAGCACCGACGTCAGGGTCGATTTTCCGCTATCCACATTCCCGCACATGGCAAGGCGCAACTCAATGTGCGTTTCCGACTCACTCTGTCGCAGAAGAAATTCCTGCGCAATGAACTTCGCCTTTCGATTACCAGTCCCACACTCAACTCCACTACCTCCGCCCCCATTAATACTACTAATACTGTCAATGTTCGCTTTGCCGTCGCACGGGCCTTGCACGCCACGCGGCTCCTCCACCAGCGGCATACAGCCGGCACCAAGGGCCTTCGCAGACGCCCGCAACTGTTCTACACGCTTCTGAAACTCATCCATGCTGCGACCGGCCACGAGGACAAAGCATTCGCCTTGACCCTCCGTGATACTCGCCGCGATGGCCTCCTCGCTCAGGTCTCGCTTTCCCATGAAAACTCCCTTCGCTCCGCCTGAGGACGGGGCCGTCGCCAAAGACACCATCCCAGGCTTCTCCACGCCCGAGGCCGGAGCCCCACTGTTTTGTGGGTCGACGTGCCGCACGACGCTCTCGGCCGCCAGTTTTTTGCGAAGCGTACTCAGCAGCGCCTCGCTGTTTTCCTTCAGCGTGTGTGCACCCTTCTTGGCGCTGAGCGCCTGCACAACAAACCGCACCTCCGTGGCGTGCAGTCTGCCTGGACGCGTGCCACCCTCGCCATTCCCCGCACTCCTGCCACTGGCGTCGGTGCCTTTTTTCGCCTCCGCGAGTTGTCGCAGCCGCGTGAAGTCGGCCTTGACGGCCTCGCTCTGGCCGTCCCAGAAGACCGCAATGACGAGGCAGCCTACCTTCGCCGTTTTGGCCGCGGCGGCGCCGTCAGGGCGGGTGGTGTCTGCCGTCACCTCCTCCAACGCCCGCTGCGCGGCGGAGCTAAAGCGGCGGTCGTCGCCGGAGGCCGCCCCGACGTCGCGCAGCAGCACCTGCGTCAGGGGCGGCGTTAGCCCCGCCGCCACAACGTCCCGCACCCACGCCGCGAGCTCCACCGCCTCGGGCTCCGCCAAGACGAGGCAAACGCACGGAGGCGCGGCGCCCGTACTTGCACCCTCGACTCCGGTACTAGCTGACATTTGATCCCCTCGCCGTCGTCTCGTCGCTCTTCTTATTGTTGCTCGCGCCGAACACGTCCTCCCTTCTTTCTGTGCGCCCGGAAAGGCGAGTAGAACACACACGCCCACACAGAGAGAGTCTGGGTGTTCTTGTGTGTGTGGGTGTTTGGTAGCACAACTACAAGGCAGGAATGGAGACAAATGAACAGCAGGGATCAGACAGCAAGCACGAGGGCGGATAAGACCTCCCCCGTCAGTGCAGACAGAGAGGAGGAGGGACAGTGCAATCAGCAGACGCACTCTACACTCCGGTCGCATTGACTGAGCAGAGCGCCAGCTGAGCGTGGGGGGTGATGACGGTTGAATGGGGAAGCCGTCATGCAAGAAGGGAAAAAGAAAAAAGAGACGAGAACAAGTAGCTAACGACAAGCGCCAAACGTGTATAGTTTTCGTTGCAGGAAGTAGAGAGGCGGGCCGGAAAGTAATGGAAGGGATGAGAGTTGTGAAAGGCCAATAACAAATCAAAAAAAAACACATATACACATTGGAATTCAACTTCGACACGTCACACGAAGGACGAACTCAACCTCCCTCTCCCACGCCTTCACTGCTTGACTCCGTTTCGTCCTCGTCGGTGTTGTTGTCGTTGTTGACTACATTGTTTTTTCCCCTGTTTCGGTTTAATTCTCCTTGTGCGCCTCGTGCTTTCGCCTTTGCTTCTTCCGCGACGCGCCTACCCCGCAGGCACCACACGCGTCCGCCCCCCTCTACTCGCTCCCTCCCCTCCCCTCCCCTTCCCTCCCCACCACCAGCCGCCCAGGCAGGTATTGCACACAGATGCCCAACCAAAGCGAGCCCAAAAAAAAAAGGGACGAGACGACTTACGTCTTTGTCGTCTTCGTCGTGTCCGCGGTGCGGTTCTCGAAGCTCAGCACCTTCACCGCACCGCTGTCGTAGCCAACAAGGAAGACCGGCACGCCGGGCTGCTCCTGCCTGAGCGCCGTGACGGCGCCAAGACGAGAGGTTTGACTGCCAGCCACAATCAGGCCGTGGTACTCCACAGTCACAATGCGGCCGTGTTTGACTTTGTCAGGCGGCAGCCGCACCGCCCGCCAGAGCGACAGACTGCCGTCGTCGTGCCCCGTGAGAAGAAGCTGCATGCCAGCGGCCCACTCGGGCGTGTCGTACGTCGTGACGGCAGTCATACTCGCGATAAACGTGGTGCCGTTCTCCACGGCAAAGCCAACCTGCCCCTTTTCGTCCTCCAAGTGTGGCGCGGCCTCGTCCAGGCCGGGGAGAGCGCCGACGCCGTACGGCTCGCCGTGCCTGTCAAAGATCAAAAGGTGTCGACGCGTGATGATAATAGAATTTGCACTTCTCGGGTCAACCGCGGCCGCTACCACGACAAGGTCGACCACGTCCACCGCCGGAAGCAGAAGGGCGGCGTCGAGCAGGTGCAACTTCGCCGTGTGTCGATGCTGCACGCACCACACAACCGGGCTGTCCGTGCCACTTACCGTAAAGCTGATAATACGGCCAAATTTGGCGTTCAGCGCAAATCCCGCAATGGGGTGCGTGTGGTGGCACAGCGTCGCGGTAAGCAGCAGCATGCCATCACTTCGGGTGGGGCTAAGACAATGCACCATGCCGCTGCTAGACCCGAGCAGAATTAGCGTCCCACGACAGCCCACACAAAGGGCACTCACACTCGCGGGAATGACGCAGACCAAATTGCACCGCAGAGATGACAAGAAACAACCTCTCGTGTTGTCAAACCGCCTCAACACATGCTCACCATGACTCCAACAAAGTACATGGTCCATGTCGTCCACCGGTGAGACGTACTTGTAGCAACACATCTTTAGTCCGCTTCGAGTTGTGGCAAAATCAATTACAGCGCTCTCATGAATGAGAATGTCATCTGCAAGGCACTCAGGTAGAGCCTGGAAGCTCCCTGGCACTGGGTCCTCCAACGTGTACCATGCATGTGGGGAGTCTAAGGCGTGCATAATCATCGCGAGCACCTTCGGCAATTGCTCTTGAAAGGCCGTAGTGTAGGTGTGCCCAGTGCGTCGCACAGCACCGCTGGCCGTGGAATTGGCACCACCCGTTCCACCGCTGCTGGTGCTACTCGGGGGATGGCACGGCTCCAGCTCCCGCTGTGCGGGATGCCGCTCCTGAAACAGCTGCATTGGCGTTTGCCCAAAGTTGTCCACCTCGGCGATGATGACGTCGGTGTCGTGCGGGTTGTCACACTTTTTTAGCGCCTGGAGCACCTCCTCGCCGTACGTCATGCGCTGAAACACGTTGTAACTCTCCACGGCCAGCCTGCCGCGGCGGCGGACACCGAAGATTAGGTCAATCCAGCGATGAATGTTTTGCACGACAAACTCACTCTCTAGCACGTACCGCATGACAGAGACAAACACCTGCGGCGAGCCCTTCGCCCAGGGCGGCAGCTTCACATCATTCACGACCGTGCCGTCTGACTTCTCGCCAAACGCGCAGTGGTTTGTATTTACAAGGAACATGCCATCAAAGAAGAACTCCGGCACCAGCTCCTTACAATCGGTAGGGCCATTTACGCACGATTGAAAGGAGGCCTCCACAGAGTCAAACAGACGTGTGGCTACGTCAAACTCGCCACCTTGGAAGATGCGGGCAAATGTTGTGAAGGGCTCCACACGAATGAGAAAATGTAACACCCCTCCGCTTGTCGAGTAGTGCGTCCCATGATGGAATGGCTGGACACTTTCGCCCTCCGGCGCCGTCTCTTGCATCTCCACCATTTGCTGGTATACCTGCATCACCTTCTGGCGTCGCTCCTCTGTCTGAGCCCCCATGGGAAGGGAGAGGTCACGGTACGTCTTCGCGGCGTCCAGTTCAAGTTCGCTTGACTTGTAGTCGGCAAGCACCCATGGATAGATGGGGTATTGGTTAAAGTCCAACCTCGTACGGCCCGCCACACGATTGAGAAAAGTGAGGTAGTCGTAGGTGGAGACTGAGCCTGCTGCCCAGCGGATAAGCATCGACCGAATCCTCGCGGCGCGTTGTGCGTGCTCATGAAACTTGCAGCGTTGTGTGCCGAGGACCTCCTTCAAGACTTCCAGAAACTTGTCCCGGGCAGACGTATTCATCGACTGCTGTGCGTCTACCAACGACAGCATTGGTCCATCGGCGTACATGAGTTTAAAAAGAATGGCGGTGTCCTGATGCATGTAGTACGCCATGCGCACACTACGGAAATTCTGCAGTAAATACACCCAAAACAGGTCCCGGTATGAATTCCCCGATGCTTGTCGAACCGAGTGTGCAATTTTGGTCCCATCATGGAGTTCCTCCCTCTCACGCCGCCGTCGCTCCTTTCCAGCACCGTCGGTGAGAAAACGCTGCAGCTTGCTCGTCATGGAGAGTGCGAAGCTCGATGCAGTTAGCTGGTAACCGCCCTTGGCCTTCGAACTCTTCGCCACACTGCCGGTGGTGGGGAAAGCTGGCTCACCTGCCTCTTCGTTTGCGCACTGGCAAAGAACAATGTCCCCCGCCACCGTAATGCGGGAGAACCCGATCAGCTTCAACGTGGTGTCAGTCAGAAGGATAAGGCACGGGGTGGCGTGGATGCCCTTGATGCGGAACCCGTTGCTGATGAACCGCAGAACCTCATTCGGCTCGAGCAGGTATCGCAGCAGTGAGACCGCGGCAGGACTCACCCGGCAGCGGCTGTCCACAAAAGGGGCCGAGCTATGCAAGAGATAGGGTCGGCAACGCATAGCAAAGGGCTGCACCAAGGCGGAGACGTGGTTGAGCTGCTGCTCACAGTTGTCTGCGCTAGGCACCAGGGAGGCGGTGTCCTCTGTAAAACGATCTGATAACACCGTCGTGTAGTTGCAGCGGGAATCTAAATAATTCAGCGCACGCACACAGGGGCTGGCCTGCTGTAGGGAACACTGCTCTGTCACGAGCCAATGCAATTGACACGGCTTCAGTGGAGAGATGTGTCCGACGCAGGAGGAGAAGCGGGCGGTGTACACCTGAACAAGCTCCGCTCGTCGGTAGCTATCCCCGACCTCAATCGTCTTGCTGTAGGCCTCCTTGAATTTGTTAATGCGCTCCACGTACTCACTGCGGTCCTTCAGCATGGATTTGTACGCGATATCCGCCTTTGTCTTGGGCCGACCGGACATAACGCCGTCAACAGTAGTCATATTCTCTTGGTAGTACGCCTCAAAGGCGGCAACAGCCGCTGCCTCATCCAGTAGAAGGAGGACTGCCGCAAACTCCTTGTACAGTGAAATGCGTTGCCGCAGCGCACTTGCAGAGAGTGCCTTGATTAGCTCCTTGCTCCCTCCGTACGTGTGCATCATAAGGCGCAGAGTCAAAATGGCAAGCTCTTTCCGTCGCCGCGCGTCCGCCTCATTCATGGAGGATGGCGGCAGCGATGTATATAGACGGAGGAGCACCCGCAGTAAGCACTCAAGCATGTCCTTCATGATCCACTGCGGGCAGAGCACGCGGCCCAAGAGCATGTAAACGATTTCCATCTGTTCAGGGGTGACTCCGTTGAGTGAGGGCCGGTTAAGCACGGCGATGCAGCTCTTCACAACCTGTGATCGCAGCAGCTGCTGCGAGCGGTGCGGCCAGGCGGTGGAGGCCCACCCAAGCAGCCAAACAAAATACGGAGAGAGGCTCGACAGCGGCATCACATCGAAGGAAACAAAATGCACCAAGAGCTCATTTAGCCGACAGACATTGAAGACGAATACGTCGGATACAGAGTCCTGCGACGAATTAACCCGTCGAGCGCGGTGTTCCAAGCCACTCCCCTTCAGCGACGTGATAAAAGAGGCTTTTGGTTCCACGAGGCCCTCGACCAAGTCGACGCACACCAGCAACTGGTCAATGACGAAGTGCGTCAAGGTTGCTGTCAGCTCCTCGGCATTTGCCATGGCGCCAGTGACCAGCATCAGCTGAAACAGCAGCGCACCACAGGAGCCGTATGTCTCTCCCCCAACCCACCCCCCAGTCACAGGCAGATTGAGCAGTGAGGCAAGAATGGTATGGGACAAAACCCCCACAGCAGACTCCTGCAGGGACTTCGTCGTGGAAGAGGGCAAGTTGGTTAAGGGCGCAAATGCGCCTATCGCCACATCCGCACTCACAGCCTCCTCCAACTCAGAGTGCAACGTGCTTCCTTCAACAGACAGCACAAGTCCTGCAAGTCCAGAAGCGAGATCGCCGTCAGCGCCAGAAGAATTGCCAACGCCTGGCATAAGCTCCAGCTTGCTCTCACTGGCGCTTGCAGCACGCTCCTCCATGCTTTCAGGCAACGATGCCGCCTCCGTGGAAACGGAGGCAGCAAACAACGACGGCGAACGGGGTGCGCATGGATTGTCCTGCGGAGAGGGATTTGACAAGAGCGACCTCGTTTCCCGCTTGCGGGGTTCTGTAGGCGGTGTGGCTGTTGTAGGCCTCTGCGCGTGGTGCTCCGCTTCCCCCTCTTGCCTTAACTTGGCGACCGCTTCCTTTCTCATCGCCACCTCCTCCCCCTTCTCCTGCTGCCGCCCCTGCCGGTGTGGTTCTTGTCGCCGTATTCGTTCCTCCCCCTCGCCTTCTTCTTCCGCCGCGGCGTCGGCAGCACCAACGCCATGCTTGACCGCATCGTCCGTGCCGGTGACGTGCGTCAGCAGCGCGGACCACACCTCGTCAGAGGGCTTTGAAAGCTTTGCAGAGGCTTCGCTGCTTCCCGTGGCCTCCGTGTTTATCGTCGACCCCGGCGAGGTGGCGGCGGTAAAGGACGCAGCCCCAAAGTTGCGGGACCGCAACTTTTCCGCGCATCTTGACAAGACGGCCTCACGCTGCAGGAAGGTCCCAAAGAAGGCGAGGGCCTCAATTTGGTACGGTGAAAGTGTGCACGGTAAAAAGAGACCCTGCTTCAGCGGGAGAGTCTGGAGCGTGCGGAGGATGAAGAGGGTTTTTTCCGAGTCGGCATCCGCGACCATCAAGGGCGCAGCACCACTCACACGCTGCAGCAATTTGCTGTATCGCCTGCGTTGGATGGCTTTCCAGAAATACACACAAACACGCAATGCAAGCAGCGCCCTTCGATGTCTGCCAAAACACGGGAACGTCGTCGTGGCGTCCGCCGCCACGTCACTGCTGGAGCCATCCTCATTCGGCGACGATTGCCGCGACGCCACTCGGCCTGCCGCCGCCGCCGCCGTGACACCGGCTTTGGTCGTCTGGAACAGGAGACGCCTGGCATATATCTGAAGCATGAGTATGCTGCACACCCGCGCCAGCGCAAAGGGTCTGTGCAGGCGGTAGGAGCAACAGAGGCGCCGCTGCATCACCGAACTGGCGCCACATGGTCGGAAGCACGCAGGCGTGGACAACGCCGCCGTCAAATGCAGCGTGAGAACCTTGGAGAAGATGGGTGCCACGACGGGGTCTAACAACGGCGTTATGGAGTCCAAAATCCCGACCAATTGTTGCAGGAGTGGGTGCTTTGAGGAAAGGACGTCAATGCGCCTCTCCGCCCCCACACTGAGACTCAGCAGAAGCAGCAGCAAGTCCACATTTAGGCGGTGTGGGGAGAGGGCCTCCACGACGGCGGCGGGGTGGTGCATCACCTGCTGACGCAGGTCCATATTCGATCGCAGCGCCTCAAAGAAGAGTCGAGTGGAGTAGACGACGCATGAGGCGTCCGCAAAGCGTGAGACGCAAACGGCGTACCAATTGAGATCCACAACGAGTCCAAAGGCGGCGAGGAACGTGCTACTGCTGCAGCACTCCACAAGACTGCGTAGAATTAAAGGAGTGAGGTCGCACGCGCCATGGGGCGACACGCGCGTCTCCGCAAACCGTGGCTTGGGAAGCTTGACGCGCAGTGCGGGCTGCAGCTGGCTCGCCACCTCCATCTCCCCCGGCGTAAGCACCGCCGCGGTGGACGCCACAATGTGGACGATGTTTGGTTCAAAGTCCGTGGCAATCATGATGTGCTTCACGCAGGAAATCAGGCGGGCCCGCACGGCAAACGGCAAGGAGACATTTGCGTAGACCAACCCGTTAAGAACACCGTCAACAAAGCGGAAGGGCAGAATGTAGTTGGCGTTTCGCCGCGCAAAACGGCAGGAGGCAACCGTAAAGAGTCGCTCCAGGCTCCCTGTCAGGTAGAGCGCAGAGTCTGGCGGCATCCCCGCAAGAAGCTCAATATCTCGCAGAATGTGGTCAAACACCAGTCGATTAATGATGAAAGGGTGCAGCTCGTCATTGACGCTCACGTTCGCCGTGGCAAGACGCAGGAGGCCGTCACACACGTCCGGGGTCACGAGATGGGCCAGACGACGGAGATGAAAGCCAAGGAGGGCGTAGGTCCTAAAATCCATGGTGCCGCCATTGGTGACGCCCCGCATACAGTCCGCCGCGAGCGCCATGTACCGCGCCAACTCCTCCGAAGTGGCGGATGCAGCGACCCAGTCGAGCAGGTGCTGCAGACCACCCTGGCTTAAAAAGAGGTCGCGGTAGTCAATCCAGTTCTTCGGCGCCACTGCGTAGTTTCCAGTGAGCTTGGCCATAATAGGACAGCTCTTCGACGTCCTCTGCAGAATGTTAACCAGCAGGGAATCACGGGTTTCGTAGGGGACAAACATGGCGATGCGGTCCTCAATGGGCAACGCCTCGTGAGTCTCCGCAAGCTCACGTGGTATCTCACGTTCTAGAATTTTACAGACATTTGGTTGATATTCCGTTGTGGCAGCGTACGCCTCCACCTGCGGCGCCGTCAGCTCCTCCTCCCACAGCACGACCCCGCCAATCGAGAAGAGGGCATCGTGCACGGGGGCATTGACAAAGCCGACGTGCATCGTCACCTCTGAGTGTGGGCGGAAGTAGGGGAGTGTGCAGGTCCCAACTTTGTTGGCGTTAAGGTACACACTGACGGTGTGTGCCACGCTCATGACGACGAGAAAATGCGCCCATCGCTGCGGTGCGAGATCTGGCAGCGCGTGGCTTTCGTTGACCGGCACCCGCCTCCCATCATGGAGAATAATTACACTGTCGCCGCCCGCAATGCGGATGGATGCAAGCGGCGGTAACGAAGCCTCCCCATCGAGAAACTCAAACAGTTGTATATTGCTATATATTTCCTCAAAGCGAAAGTACGCAGAGACGGAGAACCCCTTCTCCGGCCAGCGTCCCAGCGTCACAGCAATACCTCCCGCGGAGCTAAAGCGCAACTCCGCACGCTCCGGGGCCTCCTGCAGAATGGGTGTCCAGAAAGGCTCAATCTCGCCTCGGTCACCCACGTACGGCAGGACACTGTATGCTGCGGCTGCATCGAGGTCTAAGTATGGCAGCAACGCCGTCTGCTTTCCCTGCAGCACCCACGCCAAAAGCGCATTGGAGTGCACCTTCGTTGTCATCTTTAGGATGAGGTGCAGGGCAGAAAGAAGATCGCTCTCGAGGTCCTTGGCGTGCGCATGTGCATACTGCAAGAGCGGTGGGAGGAGATCGATGAACACAGGCTTTTCCACTGAGCAATTCGGAACCGAGAGGGCAAAAAGCCCGTGTGTGTTGACCCGCTGTGCGTGGTCTCGGTACTTGTCAAAGGCTGAAGTGGCGGCCTCAAGGACGGACTGGGCAATGAGGATGAGGTACTCCGCCCCCTCCACGCAGGGAAGGTTTTTTGTGAACACATGTGTCAGTTGTGTATCCGCGAGCCGCGGTTCCCGCCCCTGTGCCGACTCTGACACGGAAAGAAAACAAAACAGCTGTCGAATGAGTCGCGGAAAGCACACCACGGTGTGCGGGGCAAGCAACACACGCTCCAAGACGGCAATCACGGCGTTGACACAGTCGTGTTGAAAGAGCCACACGCGGCGTTCGTGTTTGGCGTCCGTCGACACCTCCGGTGACAGCAGCTCCGCCGCGAAGAGCGGCAGCAGCTTCGTCAGCAACGAGGGTTCCGCGTCTCGGATGACCTTCGCGTATGTTGGGTACACCTCCTCAAAGTCGAGGCTGCTGGCAATGCACCTCCGCCCCAACTCCGTCAGCTGGGCATCATTGGCCCATAGGAGGGAGAAGAGCACCTGCAGTATCTCAGACGCAAGGAAACCCGGGTCACGCTGCAGGAGAATCATAAATATGTTACGCAGGGACTTGATGGTGTCGCCAAACTCCACCGCCGGAGCCTCCACCTCCAAGGAGGCAAAACTGCTCTCCGTCGAGCGCGACGCCACCCACGTGGGTGTTGCACTCGGCGTGGAAGAAGCCGGGGCCGCCGCGGAGACGCCTGGAACCTCCGACGCCGTCAGCGCCGCCCCGCCCACTTTAAGCAGGCCCAGAAACACCTCCATCAATACCTCCTGTGAGCGCTTGTTAAAGTCCTCATCATCGTTGCTCAGGAGGCCCGTGTACCACACTCGCACTAGCGGGGCAAAAAGGCCTGTGAATGCTTTGCGGTCCCCACAAGCCGTTCTTGTCGCCCCCTCCTCCACCTCCGCTGGCTCCGCCTCCCCTCCCCAACGCAAGGGCAGTAGAGGCAGCTCGATAATGTCCACCATCTCGCCTGACAGTGGTAGCAAGTGCAAAACCTGGTAAACGTGCCAGATGGCCGCAACAATTCTGTGGGCCAGCAGGGCACACATCGTATCCTCGTCCATTGGTTCATGAGGACCTTTTCCACCCTCCTTTCCATGCGTAGCGGGACTCATCCTGCGTGAAACACTCTGCTCCTCCCCCCCGCATGGCGAGCTATAGGCTGCTGGAGATGCCATCCGTGGACGCTGGCCGCATGCACGTAATGTCCTAAGAAATGAGCGCAGCACCAGTCGTCCCTCGGACGCCGCAAAAGCACTGGAGCTACGCATACTGATCTGCGCGAGCAGAGTGCAAAGGAACAGACGGAGTGAGAGCGGCGTGGTGACGTTTGTAAAGGCCTCGTTCAGCACTTGAGTCAGACTGTGTACAAGATCCACGTACAGCTTGTTGTTGTACCACCATTCCTCCCCATCAACATACGCCGGCAAAAAAACCGGCGATGACGTATAATCAAAAACCGCATCGCCGGGTACCCGTAGTTGCGGCGAACCGCTGGGATCCCTCTCCAACGCCGCCGGGCACGAAGTGACGTGCGCATAGGCAAACTGGCTGCCACCAGCAGCAGTAGGAGACGCAGCAGGCCAAAAGCCCGGCCACAGCGGTCGAGCACGACTCGACAGGCGGGTCGCCGCGGCTTCAGGCGGAGTTGGTCGTGGCAGATGGATGCTGCTGGTGAGGGAACACCCTGACTCACTTCGGCTGCACATGCTTCCAGTTAAGGAATCAATGCTCCCAGTAATGCGGTGTGCGGAGTGCTCTATGCGTGTCACCTGTGTTGATGGGCGGCGCCTCTTGCTACTTGTAGAGGGAGGGGTACAAAACATTGCTATCGTCTCAAAGAGTGTTCGATCGCAGTCCACAATGTCTGGGCAATGCTGCAGCAGACGTCGTACACACCCTGCCAGGTCGTAATTAAGAAGCTGCTGCAGAACGGCCTCTTGACGAACAACGATGTCGTGACGTAATGGGTCGTCGTCCTTTGTTATTATCAGTTGGCAAAGTGCATCCCACGCCATCATCACATTTTCATACATGGCAATCTGCAGACCCATTGGCAGCTTTTCTTCTTCCTTCTGTGGCGGCACGATGCTACGCGAGCTAACCTCTATGATGTGGCATAGGGCCACGACAACGTCAGGTGTGTCATGCGCCGCAGCCTTCTTCACAGCGGCCACCGCGGCATTGAGGGCCTCCCTACTTAACGCGTCATACGCATTCTTCCGCCCAGCGGCCAGGTACTCTGCGAGTTCCGCCTTGCGGGTGGGCACACGCAGGCCCGAAGGGGGCAAGGGGGTCGGTGGCCGGCCCCCGCCCTCCCACGCGGAGCCGTCGCTGACGAGGGGGCGAATAAGGGCGTTGTTGGAGATGCGCAGACGCAGACCGTACAGCAACTGCGCCACGAGCGGTCTGGGCTCGGTGTAAATGAGCACCTGCGCACACGCCTCACTTACGGCGCAACAGTGCGAAAGACATCGCAGCACGTCATGCGTGGCCGAGACGGCGGCCCCTGCAATGCTGCCCCTTTCCGAATACATCCGCCATGACTCATCACAAAAGGCACGAAACAAACGCGTCATCCACCGCAGGTGATCCTGCTCCGCAAGCACCTTGCACACATGACCGTGAACCTCCCTCCCAAGCCTCTCCTCACCACCCGCCATGTTGATGCAGCTTTTTGGCAAGCAAAAGGCACTCAAAAAAAAGAAAATGTGTTCGGTGGCGAAGGAGGCGGCAGACTCTACAACCTGCAGAGGCGTGGCACTGGGCCCAAGGCTCTCAAATGTGGTGCGGATGTGGTCCAGCAATCCGTCACAGAGGCCACAGAGGTCGCGGGCGGCGTCGGTGGTTGCATAGGACAACAGGTGCATCTGCTGGCGACTGGCGAGACGCCAAAACACCACGGCAGCCTCTGCCCAAAGACGCCCTTCTGCCAATAACTCCGCTGCATCGCCTGGCACGGCGGTGGATGGGGATGGGGTGGCCTGTGCGTCGGTGTGCCGCAACTTTGCCTGCCGACTTCTCAGCTCCAGCGCCGCCTTCATGGCATTGGAGAACTTCTCCACACTCAACAGGTCCCGCTCAGACAGCGCCGGCATCCGTCCGTCAAACTGTGTCTCCACCACCACTTCCTCCCCTTCCAAGAGGGAAGCCGCCGCTGCCGCACCCACAACAGCGTGCTAGAGAACCCGAATGAAGACAAATCACACCTGCTTCGCCCTCGTTTGTATTTTTTTTAGTTTTATATATATATATATATTT